TTATGTGTCGGAGTGTTTAGTCTCACTTGAGCCGCTATTAAATGACCAGCAAGTAAATAAATAATGGTCACCGCAGACGTTTCTGTGGTTACTATTGTGAGGCAACTGCCAGCCTTATCGCGTAGTTTGTTTTGCTTTTAGAGTAAAACAAACTACGCGTAATAAAGTAATAAACCTTTTTAGAGTAATAAACCTATCCCAACAGTGATCTGTTGGGAGAAACTCATAAGGATTTGATGACTTTAGCCCAGGGGGTGTCCAACATAAGGCACGAGGGCCGGATTCGGTCTGACAAACACACCAATCCGGCCCATTGGATGGCTTTGGAAAATGTGATCTGTATTTTAATAAGCTTTATAGTTTTTCCGAATGAAAAAGATCTTCACCGTGGTATTTCATACTACACCCAAGTTATTAGGTAATAGATAAGTAATTACACAACAGAAAAGAAATAAAAATAGAATTTCGTCAATTAACAAAGCTTTCTGTTTTATAAGTACAGGCTTGCAAGTTAGCCTCCAGAAATGCTTTTGTAATTTTACACCTTTGTTTCCTACGGTTTAAACCCAAAGAGTCATTTTGAATGATTTCTTTCATGTGCTACTGCAGTATTTCTTTATCATGTAGAAAAACTGAGATATTTTTTGAAATTGCACTTCTTTGTCTTATTTTTATATGTCTCAAGGATTAAATTTGTGGTTTAACTGCTTTACACTGGCTGAAAGAAGGTGTTTCACTGGTCTGGCTCACTTGCTATGAAAGTTGGCTGTATGTAGCTCATGATGTAAAATGAGTTGCTGCTTTAGCTGACCACTGATATCAAAACATTTCAAAAAATAATTAATAATGTCTGATAATGTAAAATCAGCTGTTTGTGCAGTTGGTGTAGACAGGTGCAGAAACATTTTAATCCTTTTTTAGGAGCATTAGTGCTATCTATGACAGTGTATCCTTCACTATGTTGGCAGTTATGTGCATGTATAACTTTTCTAACCAGTATGCAGCATCATCTGTATTGTTGTGTTGTGCTGTTTTGTTTGATGGTCTGCTTTGTGTCATTTTCAGCTAAAGTCCAGGGCATGAAAAATGCAGTCCCCAAAAATGACAAGAAGAGGAGGAAACAGATGACAGAGGAGATCTCCAAACTTGAGGCTGACCTCAGTCAGAAACACGAGGAGGAATTGAGGCAGCTCAAAGCAACAGCTGACACAAAGGTGACTTATTATGTTTAGATGGTCGATAAATCGGGTAGAGTTTGATTAGTAATTAATGTAGAAGCACTCTTTCATAATGGGGTAACAAGTGTAAGATGGAAAGGGAAAGAACACAGCTGTTAAAAGGTTTTTGTATGTGTTCAGTGTACATTCAGTATGTAAATGATTCTAGTCTTTGTGCTGTATCAGCTGCAGTTTACAATAGGGCTGGGTATCGTCACTGATTTCTAGAATCGATTCGATTCCGATTCACAAGGTCCGGAATCGATTCGATCCACGATTCGATTCAATTCGATTTAAATCTGGGAAGTTTTGCCTCAGACAGTCTGAAATATTATAATTCAAATCAGTACATTTACATATTTTTGTATCTATAAAAAGGAAGCTGACACTCGCAAGACTTTATCAAAGGTGTAAGCATCACAGCAGATGCCTTTGTGTCAAAGTAGCTGAAGATAAAACACAGAAAAACATGAAGGTGGTTTTCCTGGCCTGGGATTTTATAAAAATATTCTGCAGTACATCAAAAACGAAAGAAAACCATTAATCAACATATGACAGCGGTTTTATTAGAGACACGGCTAAGCGTTTTGCATTTTGCATAATTTTAAAAAGTTTACAAGTTTACAGTTTACAGCCTATTGAACAGCAGAAATGAGGCTTTCTTTTCAGAAGTAAGTAAAAGGAAAAAAAAAACAGCGGCCGACAGCGCTGTAAACAACGGTAGACTTGTCTCACTGATCTCACTGATTCTGATCTGCGGGTCCACGCTTTGTTTTTACGTCGTTGTGCAGAATCCGTGTACCTGCTCTCATTTACTGTTTTAGCTGTTTGGTGGTTGTTGAAATTGTGTGAGGTTTAACCTGAGATTCTGGCGTTTTGGGCAAAATAAATTAATATTAAAAAATCGATTCAGGATTTTAATGAATCGATATCACGTTATCCAAGCCAGAATCGATTTTAATCGATAAATCGATTATCAAAACCCACCCCTAGTTTACAACATAACCATTTCTCTCTTTACTCAATATTAGAAGGTGGAAGAGGTCATAAATGGAGTGGAGAATGTAAAGGTGGAAGATGGAGAACAAGAGGAGGCGAAACAGCCGCGAGTAACCAAAGCCCAGAAGAGAAGGGTGAGATGCAACTTTAAAGACTTGTGTGCTGTCGAACCTTTATGCATTTAAATTTTAGGTTTTCCTGAAGAAGAACTCTTAGAACTCATAGTCAATCGTCCTTGTTTACCACAGTTCACAGTCATGATGTCTCTGCTTTAGAGAGGTCTCTGATGATCAGTTCTGCCTGCTAGATATAAGTTGGAGTCTAATAAATCACCCGTATTTACCTGATTTGACTTTTAAATGATTTTGTATAGGACAAAAAGGCTGCACAGGAGAAGGAGAGGGAGATCAGGATAGCAGAGGCTGAGGTACAGAACCTGCAGGGTGTGAGACATCAGGAGGGTTTAAAGCTGGTCCAAAAACTCGCCCAGCAAAAGCTTCAGATCAAGGAGATCTCCTCTGATGGCCACTGCATGTACCGTGCTATTGAAGATCAGCTGACACGGCGATCAAAGGTACATGTTGCTATAGAGGCATCTTCTGCAACATGTCTTTTGTCCTGTCTTCCTTCTCTCACCCAACTGGTCATGGCAGATGGTCACCCTTCCCGAGCCCTGACCCTCTAAGGCCTGGAGGTTTCTTCCTGTTAAAATGGAATTTTTCCTTCCCACTGTCGCCAAAGTGCTTGCTCAAAGGGAGTCATATGATTGTTGGGTTCTTCTCTGTATGAGTTATTGTAGGGTCCACCTTACAATATCAATTGTCTTGAGGCGACTGTTGTTGTGATTTGGTGCTGTATAAACAAAATTGAATTGAATAATAACTGTAGCTGTAGTTTATATACTGAGTCAGGAATTACATAAGAAATTGAGCATTGCTGACAATCTTTGACACCTTCCGTGTTTGGAGTCTGTACAGCTTGTCATACAGAAAATGACTCAATGAGAAACTGTCAAGTTTAGACACACAGAACACATTTTCTACTGCATTCTGTTCTGTTTTAGCTCCAATTACCCACAAGTGTGAAGGAACTGCGATCCCGCACTGCCGAGCACATGAGAGGCCATCCTGACGACTTCCTGCCTTTCCTCACCAACCCAAGCACAGGTGACATGTACACAACAGGTGAGACCATCTGTGTTTTTGGTAATGAAAGTAAAACTTTCACTGCTATATTTGTTAATATTCAATTGACATGTTTGTCTTTTGCTTCCAGATGAGTTTGAGAAATACTGCAGTGATGTGGAGCACACATCAGCTTGGGGTGGACAACTGGAAGTGAGTTCCTCCTTAACTGTCATATACTGTACTATACACAGTGAAGTATTTTGTTGTACTTTTCAATTCATTTTAATAATGTATTTTTTTTTAATTTTTCAAATTTTGCAGCTTCGAGCTTTGACGCAAGTTCTTCATTTGCCGATCGAGGTGATCCAGGCGGACTCTCCTACCATAAAAATTGGGGAGGAATATGACGGCGAACTCATCACACTTGTGTAAGAATGTTTCCAAATGTGTTTTTTGCTCAGAGTTCAACACTATCACTAAAAATGTGCAGATGAATGTAGTTGTAGTAAACATTTAAACATTTTAAATTCGCAATCACAAATTTACAAACACATTTTCACTACTGCCAGTCTAAATCCAGTCTGTAATATCCAATCAATAATATTCCTAATACATGATATGGTCATTCACATGTGACTGTTTGGATTTTCATGTAACTGCATGTCAAAGCTAGGAAACTGATATACTGCGTTATGTTTTCCCCCTATACAATAACCTTTTCTCTGTCTCTTTGCTTGTAGCTATATGCGGCACGCTTATGGTCTAGGAGAGCACTACAATTCTGTGGAACAGCTAAAGGACCCAGTCAATACTGAGGACAGCTGAGAGAGAGTTAACATAAGCCTGTTGGCGTAATGCAGAGAGTGTTCAAACTTCTAACACAAAGCACCCTAAAATAGGACATATTTGAAGGGAGACCCCTGGTCAAGCGAGACATTGCTGAGCTCAACAGAGAATGCTTCTGTTTTCACATCGGTTAAATGTCTGTGTTGGAGTCAGATACGGAGAGTGAAACCTAAATGAATACATAACTTTTAATGTATAAACGATAACATTGTGTTAATGATGATGATAATAATAAAAAAAACACAATTGAACAGAAGTTGATGTGTGAAAAGATTTTACATGGGTCACCCCCGGCTAATCCTAATGATTACAGGGTTACCTTTTAGCTCATTTTTAGAGGCATCGCTGAATCTTTTTTTTTTTTTTTTAAGAAAAAAAAAATACAGTTCCACTCATGCAGTTGAGGATTCAGGAGCTGCTTATCATGTGTGACTACCAACCAAATGTGGACAACGAGTGGTTGTTTTTAGTGTTGTTTGGCTGAAATGAGCTGTTAAACGTGTAAATGATACCAAGTTACATAAATGCATACAATACCACGAGTGTGTGTGTGTCACAGCTTTATTCTGAATGTTTCTAATGAGCATCCTTGTATTCCTCATAGGCACCACAATTTATATACCATGCATTAAAAATGAAAAACCCTCACTGTCATGGTAAAACTGGCCATTATAGTCAATCCACCCATATTTAACAGTTTAATATCCAGCTGTGTCCACCAGAGGTCGCAGCTGCTCCGGATCAGATCTTTGACTTGTCAAAGAGCGTGCTGTTGCCACGGTAACTCCACAGAACGTTACGATAGGCGTAAATGGCTAAAAGGGAATCGGCGGCTAGAAAGTGGGTGATAAGGGTTTTATATGCCGGAGCAACCTCTTTAAATTTAAGCTCGACGCACATAAAGAAAGTTCCCAAGTGCGTTTCCAGACTCACAAACCTGTCAGTCCTCCTGTTAAACAACAACTCCATCACAGGCCTTCCCACTGAACTGCTCTCCTTACATCAAGTGAGTCTTCTCGCTTCGTTTGTTTGCTCGCAACTTATCTATTTGATGGAAATTTGCCAATGTGCCACTTGAAATGTTTTACACATCACGCAGATTTGTGATTAAATACTTTTCCTCCTGCAACGCCCGAAAGCTGGCTGAGCTGAATTTAGGAAATAATGCCTTGAAGGAGTTTCCCGCTGTTCTGGGCCATCTGGAGTCCTTGAAAAAGCGGTACCTGTTCAGAAACCAAATTACTGTAGTGCCACCTGATGTGATAGGTAGGCTCTTACTGGTTTTGTATGATTAACACAAAGCTCTAGTCATCTGCGTGTGTGTGTGTGTGTGTGTGTGTGTGTGTGTGTGTGTCTGTGCAATATTCATGTTTTACAGGTGGCTTCAAGAACCTTGTTGTCCTCAATCTGAACCACAACCAGATTCAGAGACTTCCGCCAGGGATTATAAGGTGCATTAATGGTGCCTCGGTGTGCAAAATGACTCCCTATACCTGCAATTATAGGTTCTGAAGTCAACAAATCATTTAATGACAGTTTAATTCTGATACACATGTGCACACAGTGTGAAAATGCTGCATGTAACCCTCCCCCCCTCTCAAATTCAGGTCTGTTTCTTCTTTTTAGCTTGACTATGCTTGAACACCTCAGCTTGCTGGACAATAAGCTGGAGGAAGTTCCTGCAGAGCTTGGTCATCTCACTCGCTTATCTGAGATAAACCTAAACTTCAACAAGCTGTCCCGGCTTCCTCGGCAGCTGTACCAGTGCAAAGAGCTGACAAAGCTGTATATGCAGCCAGAAACTACTTGACCAGCCTACCAGAGGAGGGTTCTCATAAAATCCCACACCAGTTGCCTGTTGAGTTTTCCACGTTTTTTCTTTTCTTTTCTTTTCTTTTCTTTTCTTTTCTTTTCTTTTCTTTTCTTTTCTTTTCTTTTCTTGTTTTAGTCAACAAATATCAAGAGTTTCAGAAAAATCAGTAATTTGATTGGCCACTCACACAATCTAAATTTCCCCGAAGTTAATTTTTGACTGAAAATAGTGTTCCTATATTGATAAGGTAGCTTTTAAGATATTTGTGTCAAGCTGTATCTCTGCTTCTACTTTTGTACTGTGAAATAATTTGGCCGTAACGGAACTGCACTGTGAAGGGAACAGGTTTGTGCAGTGTGAGCTGATGACTTCGGTGCAGTATGCTGAAGTACTTATATTAAAGGTAAATGTCAGTCTTTTAAAAACATAGATATTTTGCTCCTTTAATGCTGGCTTTGTTCCCATATCACTGTTTCCTTTTGTACCAGTAGGAAGTGGTTGTTAGGTTTGTATTGCGGGAGGACAGGAACAGGTTCTCTCTAATCCATGTGATGCTTCCCCACTATCCAAATCTAAAGACGTCTGCTGGATACCGCCAATTCTTGTGCGGTCTGCTGCAGCCCCTTCCTCACCACCTGGCTGCATTGTGTGCATTTTGTAAATCTAAAGAAGGTGAATCCATTGTTTTTTCCCTATTCTAGTTGTATAATTTAAACAACATAATTCTGTGACACCTGCTAAAGCAGATATGACTACATTAGTATGCTATACGGCTGAAAAATGCTACATACATAATGACTGAAGTAGGTAAATGAGCTCTGTTGCCTTTGTGTTACAGGACATGAAAATGAGGAGTATGCTCACTATTCTAGTGCATGCCCTTCTCTGTTCATACAGGTGCTTTAACACAGAAGGACACGCCTACTTTGGTGTTGCTACAAGATAAATACAAGTTTATTTAAAGATACAGTCTTCTTTTTCATCTCATACATTTTTTTTTCATCTCTTAAACTGAAGGCACAAAATGTTTCAATAAATATCAAAGTGATGTGTGTAGGTCTGGAAGCATACATGGTTTCATTCCTCAGTGATTTTGTCCTTTAAATTTATTTGACATTTCACTCTGTAGAAATGTCACTAGATGGCAGCAAATGAACATTGATAAGACCCTCGTTTCAATGGCGCTCTAAAATGCAGGCTTTATGCCAGCTACAACGATGTAAAATCCTTGAAAACAGATAAAACAACACAATTAAAAAAACTTTATTTACAAATACTTGAACATAAAACCTTTGTAAGAGAATACCTGTCACACCTGTTTTTTCTCAGTAAAGAGATAATTCTGTGGAGTCCTTCACTGGGTTTAACCCGCGCAAAATCTATATGAAGACCCGTTTACATTTAGCAATGGAATATTTTATTTTTCTGTCTGTGTCCACCTTGGCACATCCTTTTCCCATGTCAGCACTGATCACACTGCACAGCTATAGCTGCCCCATCTCTATCGGCTTCTACAGAAAGTGGCATCTGTTCCAACCTGCCAGACAAGAGAAAGATAGAGAGAGGGAGGGAGGGCTAGAGAGAACTTCATTTCTAGCAAATTAATTTCCCATCCACGCCTCCAGAGCTTACTAGCTCGTTCGCTAGCTGCTGCGGCCGCTGCTGCGTGTGTCTGCTGAGTCGGAGCCTCATGCATAATGCATCAGGTTTAATTGCAAACCCAGAAACTAATGACTTTGGACTGGTTAACAGCAGGGGAGCCATACATCTCGAGCAAACTGAATGAAAAATCAGCTCAGAGGAGAGAAAAAAAGGAGCCTAGCCCCTAATTGATGAATAATTGAAGCGGCGAGCTACAGGGCATAATTGTGACATTTTGTTTCAATCAATTTCCAAGTGGTGTGGGCGAAAGTGCACTTAAAGGAAAAAAGCAATGACAATGAATGAGAATGAAAGGGAGAGATGGAGAGCGCGGACGGTGATGGAAATGGACGTTGTGTCTTCAGTCATTGTTACGACATTTGCTGGAGCAAAAAGGCAGGACTGGACCAAACGCTTTTATCTCTCTCCCTCTCTCTCTTTATAGGTTTATCTGTCAGACCCCTGCTTCGCTGTAGTTGGGTTGCTTTTAAAAAAATCTCAGCTAATGGATCCGTATTCTTGAGTCATTTTCACGTACCACATCCATTTTAAAAAGAAAGAAAGAAATGTGAAGTTGCTCGAGTGGACATGCTTTTATTTGCTTTTTCAGTCAACCTAATTAGTTTATTGGGAGAGTACGAGGGCCAGGTCACAGAACTGAACACCACGCGACTCAGTCTTGAACTATCACGTGAGGCCACAACGCCTCGTGATTTTATAACTGTGACTTTATTACTGCACACGGGTACTGTGATCTCAGCTACACTTACATGTAAAATGAAAACTCAGAGAGAAAGTTAGGTGCAGCACAGGGTCTTTTACTTTTTCTCTCCCACAGCGCACTGCTGCCCTCTGTCGCTCTCTGAAGCCTTACTGACCGCTCGACCAGTGGGCGCCCTTTTTTCCAGGAGACACTGCTACTACATTATGGAGCTAGTATTAGGTTAGGGCTACGAAACGAAAACTATTGACCAGCTTTATATCATTATTTACATCTTCACAATGGACAAAAATCTATGTATATATTTGAGTACTTTATAAGGCCACAACTGATAAATAGGTCATTGCAGCTGGCATCATACTAATGGGTGAAAGGGCAACAGTATGTGCCTTCTTGCGGGCAGCAGATGTTGGGTCCTGCAGCAGTGCAGCAGCAGCCGCACTCGCTCAGTGGCCTCAGGACTTGTCTGTTAGTGGGTCTGGTGTCTGGTCTCTGGTGTCAAGCTTTATGCGTGTCTTTGCACGTACAAACACACACACACACACATCCCTTTAACGCACTACAGAGGAGCAGACACGCTCACTTCACTCGCTTTGCACCGATGGCACATCATCACAATATTTTTTCCCCACATAGCGTTGTTTTCATCATGTTGTTTCACAAAACGCATAGTCACCCCCCCCACACACACACACACGTGTGCACATGCATTCCTTTTCCATATCACCGAGCTCTTCCTTATGATTGCCAAATACAGAGTGTGCTGCGTGTTTCTTAACATCACGCGCAGCATGATTGACGTGTATGGAAATGAGGAGGTTACATCCTCAAAGGAGATACCATACGGATGGGAGCAGCACACTGATGAGAGGCATCTACAAAAGGCGCTTGTAAATTCCTGACATGCCTAACATATGTTAATGAGCCATTCTCTCGCTCTGATATAATTACTGCGAGGGGATATTGCCTTTGGTGAAAATATCCGTCTCGCATGGCATGGCTACCTCATGGGGGTGAAAAAAAAAAAGTAAAGAATGATAAAGTAGCGGGGGCATAAATTCTCATTTACCATGCTTGGAGGTAAAGAGAGTGATGTTGGCAAATTCACTCAGGATGATATATTGGAGACAAGGCACCTTAGGTTCATTACATACTTCCTTTGTTAAAGCGCCTTATGTAGTCTTGCATCGTTTGTTTGGAGGTATTTAGTCTGTCTTGTCATTTGGAGCATTTACTTTGGATGTTTGAGCTTACATTGTATCTTGGGGCCAAAAAGACGAGTGATATGTAAACTGAAATATAAGATTAGATACTAGTTGTTTATTGTTTATTTGGTGTTAAAGCTCAATACATCACTACTATTATCCCTTCTGTATATGAATCCCCACCTTTTAGTGTCTTAAATATATTATGCTTAAACTGGACATATTATGCTTTCGCTTAGTTTCTGTCATATTGTTACGATGGTGGATGCTCATATTACATAACATAGCCAATAATAAGTGTTTGTACCAGTAATCAGACTCCTTTAAATCCTCAGTTGCAGATTTGTTTTTTTTTCTCTCGGCTCTCTCTGGCATCAGAGTTTCTATCCTTAATCTTATCTTCTCAGGGATAGAAGCCCCTCCCACCTGCCGTTGAAGCCTTCTGTTTGCTAGGGGCAGCCAATCAGAATAAAGTTGGTTTTAAATGGTGCCAAAGTGTGATGCTTTTTTATTCAGAGGATTAATTGAGGGGATGCATCTAGGTCCAATGAAATTTAAATAAGATTTTTAACTGTGAGTCATGCAAAGCTACTTTGACAGTGTCCAACATTCAAAATGTGGAACTGGAAATGATCATAATAGCTCCCTTTAAAGCAAAGGATTTCCAGCTCACTCCAGAAACAAACACCACGATGTGACATGCCCGGTCATTCGATCATTTTCAGAGATCCAGCAAAGCCAAGATTGTGGTCTTCACCAGAATTATTTGACAATAGCTCACGTGGATTCCTCATCTTCTCTCCTTGGGGCAGCAGCACAGGGTCTATTGAAATGTGTAGCACTGATTGCTGAAGTAGGGGTCTTGTGAATGGAGAGAGGGGAACAACAGGCATTCGATAGCGAGCGGTGGACCGGTGTCATAGCCAGGAGTGTGCACCACTCCAATCAGTAGATTCTATTGTTGTGCATTGCTGCCCATGACAGATCTTGGTATCGAGCCACTGGCAGAGTACCAGAGCATTGTCTGGTTGACAGCTGCCCCAACAATCCTGTTGTGTTACTAATGAGTATGGGCACTAGGGGGCAGTGTGATTCTCTGCTGGCTCTCGACCAGATGGGAGAGAGATGCACTGATGCGCACAGCACACTGAGATATGCCTGACGAGTCTAAGAGATAGAGCAGTTAATAAAAGCAAGAACAATGAGCTGTTATTGGAATTCAAAGCTTTATTGGAATCTACGCATCAAATCAAAACATTCAAAGACATGTTTGACTTTTAAATCTTATCAGTGCGACCAAAGATTCCTTGGTGAAAAGGAAGAAAGTTTCATTGCATTTATTGTTGCATAGCAATAGGAAAAAAATGGCAAAGACACCAGATGTACAAGACAATAACTGTACAATCTCTTTATCAAAATCGACACAATGCAACAAAAGAAGTTCCCTCATACAGGCGAGAAAGTAAAAAGTAATAATGTAGACGAGCTAGACTTGAAGTGCACCCGACTGTCAAGAAATGCTGCAAAACAAAGCCATCTAGGCTTCTTACTACTCTTTTGTTTTTTCTCTTCTTTCTCTCACCATAGAATATTGTAAATGAACAGAAGCAAGTAAACTGTCTGTCCTTTGAGGTTACAAGGAAGTGATACCATTACTGAACCGTTCCTCATTAGAGGGGGTGTAAGACAAGAACCCAGTCGTCAGGCCAGCTCCCTGTCTCTGGCAGTTCTGGGTCACCACCAGCCACACTGCAAAACCCCCCAAAAAACAACCACCATTACCAGACTGCATTTGCTGCAGAAATCAGACAGAAATGCTGTAGCAACATCAAAAGAACAAATAAATCTTTAATCTTGAGTGTCTTTGAATCTCTTCAAAAGTTTCCTCGGGTTTGGTAATAACACAGGGAGCGTGGAGAGGGACAAAGATTGTGTGTTTCTGGTTTTTTTTGGGATGGTGAATGTTTTTATGTTTGGGGAGCAAACAACATGGGAAAATGAGGCTGAAAGAGATGTTGATGCGGCATTGTATCTTTTGATCTTACTTACTCAATAGCTATCAGAAGTAGCATCTATGTGATGTGTTTTTATGTTTATTTTGATGCAATTTTCCAAGATTTAATCATCTTATACTTTCTAATGTATTGTCACTATCGGATTTCATTATTCAAAACAAATGAATTCAGCCTGTCAGATCCACCTTGACGAGCATGCTGAGTCGACCCGAGGACATCTATCAGTTCCAGAGCCGCTCCACTTTGTCACCAGTGTGACTGACAGCGCGCAATCTGAAAACCCGGCTTTGAGGTCATGTGATGGCCACTGAAGCATACCCACAAGAGCAGAGCGGCAAGCGGGTGGGACACCAGGTAGAAGCATCTGCTCTGGGTTTTTCT